AGGTAGACACCGACCGCAGCACTGGTCTACCGCTAAAAGGGTTTTGCGTTATCTTGCAAGTACATCGGGCATGGGGTTAGTGCTAGGAGGACGCAGGTCAGTGGTCCTTACTGGACACACAAACGCTTCGTGGGCAGACGACGCCGAGACACTCAGGTCTTCCCAGGGCTACTGCTTCAGCCTTGGTTCAGGTGCCGTCCCGTGGAGAGCTACCCGCTCCTCGTCAGTCCAGCTGTGAGGCCAAGATCTACGCTGGTGCCATGGCGGCACAGGAGCTCCGCTGGCTGACCTTCTTGCTCACTGACTTAGGTGAGCGGCCTAGCTCTGCCCCGGTCCTATACGCTGACAACAGGGCCATGATCCTCCTGTGTCAGGAGCCTTGACTCGAGGGCAGAGCGAAGCATATCCAGCTGTGGTACTTCCTCCTGCGCGAGCTACAGCAGCGTCGCCAGGCGCGTGTAGTACACTTGGCCTCCGGTGCCAACACAGCTGATATCTTTACGAAGGCGCTTGCGCCTAAAGATCATCAGCGGCACTGTGTACAGCTCGGTCTAGTTCCTGTAGCCTCTCACTTGCTAGGGCCTTGACTTTGTACTGTCCTATATATCTATATGTACTCAGACTGGACTTGTGTCCTCTCCCAGTGGATGGACTAGTAGTGCCGCCCTGGTCTTGTTCTTGCCTTGCCTGTACTCCTTCAGACTGGTGTTTAAACCCTTGTCTCAGTGGCTGGACTAGTAGTGCCGCCCTGAGCTGCTTGTTCAGGACCTGCCCCTATGCAGTCTAGGGGGTGTGTCAAACATGTGTATCTCTTATGTTTACATAGACTGTATAAGGTCACCTCTTAGAGGGTACAACACTTAGGTATATTCACTTGTACTCTCACTCACTACTCAATTATTCATTCAGTTCTAAGAAGTGGGAAAAATCAGGGTCGCAAGAAACTCTACTCGGATATTCCAGGGTCGCCTTGAGACCTTCCCAGATTTTGTTAGGGCTGGGTAAAAGAGAACCCCGAGAAGATCAGGGCTGGTACCAAAGCTACCTTAGAATTTCAGTCAAGTCAAGACACATGCCTTGCTATGCCCTGGCGGTGAGCAAAGCCGACGGCCGAGCATGTGAGTTGTATCAGTGAGGGAGTGACATTGTTTCAAATTGCATAGACAAGGTACAAGGCGAGTGTCATGTCCGAGGTTGGCAGGAAGGGGAGGTTGACCTGGATGCAGAAGGAACGAAACTTCTGCCAGTAAGGTTGTAAGTTCGAATTGTATAGTCTGCGTGCGTTTGTGTCAGGACCGAGAGCAGCTCGCGTTGCAGGGTTGGAATTAGATTTTGTTGCTATACAGGCGGGGAGGCAGACATAAGGGAAACGCGACTTGCAGGGCGAGCATGAGGCTATTAGGTAGACCCGAGCCGGAGAAGGCACTATTAAATTATATGTATGTAAGATAATTGGTAGGCTTGGTAGGTGTTACTGAAACCTACTGTCGAGGGTAGAACCCCTCTCTTTGTATCCCTCTCTCTTCCATTCTCAATCTCTTTTTTCTCTTGTCAACTTTCCTAGCCTAAAACCTTTCGCCATTTCTATGGCTTCCCTCCAACCTAGATCCTAGCTTAATTTAACATGGTATCAGAGCAGGTTGCCCTTCCCGGGCCTGCTCCCCACGTTTCCGCCGCACACTCCTCTCCCTCTCACGCTGCCATGGCGGCCGCGTCGTGCTGCTGTGGCGGCGTCGTTGTGCTGCTGGCCGCATCGTGCCGCGGTCGTCTCGACGCGCTGCCGTGGCGTCGCGCTGTCATGGCGTCGATGTCCAGCCGTGGCGGCGTCGTCGACGTCCAGCCGCGGCGGCGTGACAGCGCCGTCGTGCTGCTGTCGTAGCATCGACGTCCCGCCGTGGCATCGACGCCGCACTGTGGCGGCGTCATAATGATGCCGTGGCGGCGTCGTCGGGCTGCAGCCGGCCGCGCCCCGTCCCCCCCCCTCTTCCCCTGCGTCCCCTCCTCCTCACCACAGCCGTCGCCTGACTCGTGAGGGTCTTCCCTATCGTCGCGGAGCTTGGCCACGCTGCCAAGAGGGCGGGGGCTGCTGCACTTGCCTCTAACGTCGAAGCCGCTGCCGTCACTACTGTCGCCGCTGGCCTGTTGTCGCCGCCGCCGCCAGTGTCGTCATTGCCGCCACTACCGCCGTTGCCATCTCACGGGCCCGGGGATTGGCCATGCCGGAGTAGTCGTCGCTGTTGCTGGGAATGGGGGTGCTAGGTTAGGGGGTGTGGGTGTGTGTGGGTTTTTCTACTACTAAGCCGAGGGGGTGTGTTAAATTATATATATGTTATATAATTGGTATACTTGGTAGGTGTTACTGAAACCTACTGTAGAGGGTACAATCCCCCTCCTTGTATCTCTCTCTCTTCTATTCTCGATCTCTTTTTTCTCTTGTCAACTTTCCTAGCCTAAAACCTCTCGCCATTTCTATGGCTTCCCTCCAACCTAGATCCTAGCTTAATTTAGCAGGCATTAGTGTGTGTGCCTGGTGCTAAGCATTGGCTGCCGTGCGTGAGTCGGATGTGAGCTTTGATGGGGCTAGCCCAGGCTGGCAGTGAGGGTTGGAGGAGTGGCCACCAACTGGCGCCGGGCCAGTGGGGAAGTACATGGGTGAGAGACGCGTGTGTACGTTGCACATGGTGGAGGAAGGTGGGGATAAATTGAGGTGGGGGGAAGGCAAAGCCGTGTTCTGCAGACCAAGAGATCGTGAAAGCGTTGATCGCCGTAGCTGCAGGTTACGAGTTACCAGAACATAAACGACTCAGCTTGGCGTTGCTAGCATTGGCGAAGAGATCAATGGAATGGGGACCCCAGCGCCGATCCAGGATGTTGAACTGCGGCGTTTTCAGCATGTAGTCGTCGCGATCGAGTATCTAGGAAAGCTCATCCGTATGCGTGTTGAGTTTGCAAGGGATCCACACCATCATAAGGCAAACTCGGTGGGTAGTACACGTGCGAATCGAGCTTGTGTGAGCCACCCTTCTTCAATATGAAGAAAACTCCCTCACTATCCTTGTGCACAAGGACATGCTTGTTTCGGAGTAGGACGATGTATGTCTGCAGTGCCCATAGAACCCCTTCAGTCTCTCGACGGGTATTGGACGTGTGTCTCAAAGCGGCGGGCATGTTCATGCTGGCTTCACCAAGGTTGCCAGAGAACGTGTAGAGAATAGCCCCTCAACCGTGGCTGCTCGCGTCGATGTGAATTACAACATCGTAGCTACAGCGCACATAAAATGGGGCACCGTTGAAGTGGTCAAACTCGGTTGATCAGAATTCCAATTCCTCGTAGATGATAGGTGAGAGCGGTACTCTGCTATTCCAGGAAGGAGCTTCGTTGATTCTCTGCAGCACGGCGTGGCTGAATGCCCTAGCAGTAGCCCTGAGCGCAAGAGCCATTGAAGCAAGCATGCCGGTAACCCGTGCGACGTGCCATACGGGGGACCTTGGACTGGCTGCGTCCGGCTTCTAGGAGTGACTAGATAGTAGCCTGCAGTGTGCCACGCCGTTCCGGACCCACAGAGAATTCGCCGACTTCGGTATCGAGTTCCAAGCCCAGAAAATGCAAGCGTGGGGCTGGTTGAAGGTGGGATTTCTTGGCGTTGATCACGAGGCCCGCATTGCGAAAATCGCCAATAATGTGGTTGCAAGTTTCCCGGGCATCGGCTTCCGAATGACAAACGAAGAGGATATCGTCCGCATACGGTGTGACACACAATCCCGTTGTTCTCCAGCGGCACGCGAGATGCTTGATCAACTGCGGGAAGATGAACGGTGCTGTAGCCAGTCCGAACGGAAGGGAGCGGAAGCAGTATGAGTGCCCGCAAAATTGGAAACCCAGGAATTCCCAACACGACGAGTGAACGTCGACGTGGTGATAGCCAGACTCCAGGTCAATTGAAAACCTCCAATCGCCCGCACGCAGCAACTCGGCGATGCGATTGAGTTCCTCGTACTGGAATTTGGGAATTTGCAGCTCCTGGCTGACCTTGCGTAGATCAAGGATGAGGCAACATTTGTCGCGCTGTTTTACAACGTTGAGAGGGCTGACGCATGTGAGCGTTGATTCTGGCACCTTTGTTGCGGTGCCGGTTTGGAGGAGATCCGCCATGGCGGACTTCGTAAATGCCTCATGAATTTGGGCCCCCGCATGATTGGTGCTCCAAAAAAGGTTGTGGGGGGCCTTGTTTTCATGGCATCCAGTAGCCTCTGTCAATGATTGATATGATCAAGCTACTGGTGCACCACAAACGCCACCAGGGAAGTGCATCTCACAGGCACCCGCGCATGGTTGGGACCGTCCGGTCCGTTACTGCGTATTCGAAGGGATCACCAAGCACGGTAACATCATGCGTGAACAGTTCTACAAATAGAATCCAACAAAAGAATGGGGTAAGGTTCGTAAATGCTTGGTAGAGTGAGCGTGAAGTCCACCAAACGTGATCGTGAGCATACTCCAAAAAAAAAACAAAAAACAAAAACAAAAACAAAACAAAAAAAGCCAGGGATGTATCCATGAAGGCCGGTGCCTGATACGATATGAATCTTAGGGACTAGGGCAACGTGCATCTGGCCCGGCAGTCGGTCGCATGCTGTGCCACTGCGCATGCACTTTCGATGTTCCATTCTCACGTTCGGGCTCTCTCTCTCTCTCTCTCTCTCTCTCTCTCTCTCTCTCTCTCTCTCTCTCTCTCTCTCTCTCTCTCTCTCTCTCTCCCACCTTCTTGTTCTCTCTCTCTCTCTCTCTCTCTCTCTCTCTCTCTCTCTCTCTCTCTCTCTCTCTCTCTCTCTCTCTCTCTCTCCCACCTTCTTGTTCTCTCTCTCTCTCTCTCTCTCTCTCTCTCTCTCTCTCTCTCTCTCTCTCTCTCTCTCTCTCTCTCTCTCTCTCACTCTCTTTCTCTCTCTCTCTCTCTCTCTCTCTCTCTCTCTCTCTCTCTCTCTCTCTCTCTCTCTCTTTCTCTCACACTCTCTTCACTCTCACTCTCTCTCATCCTCTCTCTCTCTCTCTCCTCTCTCTCTCTCTCTCTCTCTCTCTCTCTCTCTCTCTCTCTCTTTCTCTCACACTCTCTTCACTCTCACTCTCTCTCATCCTCTCTCTCTCTCTCCTCTCTCTCTCTCCTCTCTCTCTCTCTCTCTCTCTCTCTCTCTCTCTCTCTCTCTCTCTCTCCTCTCTCTCTCTCCTCTCTCTCTCTCTCTCTCTCTCTCTCTCTCTCTCTCTCTCCCTCTCTCTCTCTCTCTCCTCTCTCTCTCTCTCTCTCTCTCTCTCTCTCTCTCTCTCTCTCTCTCTCTCTCTCTCTCTCTCTCTCTCTCTCTCTCTCTCTCTCTCTTGCACCATCTCTCTCTTGCGAAGCATCGCATGTTCCAGTAAGCCAAGTCCCTCCAATGGCTGGTCAAAGAGCATGTGATGGGATGGAAGCTAAGGCTAGTTATGTACCTCGCGCTAGAAATTGTAGGCCTAACAAAGTGCTTGGTTTCATGTGCCTTGATGCAGCCGCACCCATTATTGGTCATGCCTTCTTCTAGGTTAGGCTTGGAGTAGCAAGGGCACCCATGATAGGTTCCTAGGCTCCAAAATCGGAGCTGCCTTATGAGCTCCCAAGGCCTTGTGAGGCCTTTTTTCAGATTGGGGTTTTCAGTAATATTTTAAAAAATGATATCAACAAGAACTGAAATACTTGGCCCATGAGCTTCGAGTCTTAGGCCTCAAGCCTTGGCCACTACACAACAGGGATTCTATCTTTCAAAAAGATGATGAATCGAAAAGAACCGGCACCTCCAAGGGTGCCACTGCCGAGGTAGGTAAAAAAAATGCTTTCTCCCCCCGTGGGGCTTGGCCCATGGCCTATACTCATACCCTCTATCGGGTTTGGCCAATGGCCTTTTCATTCTAATTCCCACCAAGGGGATGGTTAGCGGCCTTAAGCACCCCATGTTGCAGTGGCACCTACTCCGAGGTCCACAAAATAATAACATGAAATCCTCATTTACTTTTCACACAACGGGTGCAGGCCCTTGTGACCCGCTCCCATTTCCAGTGCAGTTTTTCGCCGTGTGGCCCGGCTGGCCACAGCAAAAGCAAGCGCCTTGGAAGCCCCTCTGGGCGCCGCTCGGTGGAGGGCCGAACTTTCATCCAAAGCCCATAGGCCCACGGCCTCCAACGGGATGGCCACGGCCATAGGAGCCTTGCGCGCGTTTCATTGCCGCAATGTCTGCAACTGCTTGCTTGAAGGGGCGTGAGGTGAGGACAATCTTCTCTTGGTAGAGCTTGAAGCGGTGTGCCGTCTTGAAGTCCGAGGCGTCGGCGACTTGGAGGAGCTCAAAGTGCTTGACGATGAGCGCGTACGCCGCCTCGAAGTATTCGATCGAGCTCGATGTGTCGCCATGGCCCACCTTGTGCTCCGCGTGCTTCGGATACGCTCGCAGGTCTTCCAGGAACTCGGCTTGTTTGCGTACCCCCGCGTTGTTGAATGATGATGTCGGGATGGTAGGGTTAGAGGAAGGAAGAGGTGGGAGGTGCTCGGTGGGTGCGAAAAAATTAGTGTGCGTATGAGCCTTACCAGCCTCGTTGTCAGAGCCGCTGTCTTTCTTGGCATTGTCTTGCGTGGCAGCGGTGAGCTCCTGCTAGGCGGAGGCGATCTTGGAAGGACGAGTGTGACGCGACGACTCGTTTTTTGCATCTTCAATTTTAGTCGAGGCAGAAATGGTAGTCGCAGCTGTTGTAATCGCGTGCGTGCTTTATTGTAACAGCACCAGTAGTGCCGCCACTTGCTCGTTGGTCAAAGCAGGGGCGACGGGTGTTGGCGCGCTGGACGAGGCCGCCCCCCGGCCTCGCTTGTTCTGACGCGAGGGGCCCACCTTGCCGTTCGACGCCTTCTGCGCTCTGACGTCAGCAGGTGACGCGCCATCCGACACTTGCATCGCCTGCTGCTCGCTGGCGCGTGGCTCACCAAGGTCAACTTGGTTGACCTCGCAACTGCGCAACAACACGTCGAGGGCAGAAGGGGTGAGGTCGCCCTCTGCTCGACGCTTGTTGCCGCGATCACCTGCCATTTCGCAAGCGTTTTTCTCGGGTTCCGAAATATTCCGAGTATCGACAGACGGATTTTCAGCACGGTTGGCCGGGGTGCTACGAGGGGCCATGGCTGCCTGGTTATGCGTAAGGATATCGGCAAGAAACTGGGAGGGTGCTTCACCGCGAGGGAGAGTTTTCAACTTCGCCAGAGTAGCGGAGCGAAAAAGGCGGGATGGGAACTCAATGAACTTGAGCTGGGAAAATGGAAAACGTGGGTGGAGGAAGAATGACCTCCAACCCCATTATATAGTTGGAGAAGGGTGAATAGCGCGCTTCGACGATGGCGAAGATTGCGTTACAAGCAGCTTCGCATTCACAAGACGCAATTTTGAAACTGTGAACACTTTTAAAATTTACATTATTGTAAGTGTGTTACTTCCGTGCTGTTGCATAAAAACTCGTCCCCCGCCTCGTCAGCTGTTGGGCTAGCTGATTTCGTCTTGAACTGGTGTGCGGTTGGGGAGCTGGCGAATATCTAAAAACAATCTGCGGTCAGCAACTGCCTAGTTCACCTTTACAAGCCACATCATGCCCACTTGTGGCTGGAAACATTTTGCAACTTCGCATACTGTGCCCCTGGACGCTCAAATGACTAGGAGATACTTCAGCGAGCAGCATTGGCCACAAGATCGAGGGTGGAAGCTCCAGTCTGACTAATATCTGGCCTTTTTCTGTTCGTTGTCCATTTTTGCTGCCCGTCAGGATGTACAGTCCAACCTTGTGAACTCATGATTTTTGTACACGTGCCTCCAACGTTCTGGATGGTCCTCGATTCCTGTTGGGATTTTTTTGGAACGGAACGAGTCAGCAGGGTCCACCTGTCACCTGCCCCTTCAGCGGCACAAATCATGCCCGTGGAATGGGGTTCGGCATGGATTGGGGAAATGTTTCCGAGCTTGGCTGCTGGTTGGGAGGGTGCCGCGGGTAGCGTTTCAGGCCTTCAATCTCCCGCCACAAGCCTTCTCCCGGCTCTGTAGTGTAGTGGTGAAGTTCATAGCTCCGGTGCATCTACGATTTTTCGACTCTTGGCTAAAACAGTCCTAATCAATAGATCACGACTTGTTGAACGCATCCTGCTTGTGTCCTGGTTCGCTCCTCCAGGCCAGAAATCGCGGGGTGACAAGGCACATGACGGGGAAAACGAATTCGGGCAGTTTCGAAGGGTTCGCCAGAGCAGCCGCAATATCAAGATATTCTCCACCGCGGCATCCCTACCTGCCATTTTGGCCTCCAGTTCGCTTGGCTGATATTGCTCGGGAGGGTGGTGAGGAAAAAGGTCGCCTGCCCGTGGCCTGGCTGCAGAGAATTTGATCCGACCGAATGAATGCCCCAAGGTAGGGGTCTCATCCATCCAGCAAACCAGCCAACCACCGCTGTGCAAGTGATATCACACAACCCCACGAGGAGCAGCGAGGGTTTCGAGGAGGAGGAAAAGATTTTTCTTCCTCCTTGGCCCTGTCTTGCTGCTGCCGCTCCGATCAGAAAGGCGGAGGAAAAAATCAGGCAGCGACGACGGGGAAGGAGAGCCACACACGTGTTGATAGGGGAGATACTCCAGAGTCCAGACGTAGTTAGCTCTCATCTTGTCTTCCCTGCTTGCGTAGTCGATGTAAGCTTTGTTTGGCTAGTCTAATGTTCTTGAATGCCGAGCAACGAAACGTTCAGCCACTACCGCCCTATGTCATAAAATATCAGCGTCCAGCCTATCAGGAATATTCGATTGGCGTGTCTTGCGAGAATCAGGCTACTACGATAGGGCAGCACATACTGAAATGGCTGGAGAGTTTGGGGACCAGGAGATAGATTTAGAAAGAAACGACGGCGTAAGATGCGGTGGAGGGACTGTCGGCGAAAGGCGGAGTCAGGGTCTAGATAGGGAGTTCGACCAAATAGCTCTCGCGGTTGACCAGATGTACGATCAGGGTTGTGACGAGGAAGTAGGCAGGCAAATGGTCCCGCTAAACCAGGAAGAGCAGAGCCCGTTACAACCCGAGCCTCAGACTCAACAACAGCCGAATACCGATGCTGCTCTTGAAGCGGACGTCGCTCCGGGAGCCGAAAACGGATCCGGAGCCGACCAGCGTGACAGGGAGGGAAAAAACGAGGACGAGGAGCTTGAAGAGAATAGTGATAATAACGAGGGGGAGGATGACGGGGACGAGACGGGCGATGATTTTGAGCTCCACGACGGGCCGAACGAAGGTGGAAGCGGCGGCGGCGGCGGAGGGTGGGGGGTGTTGATGGAGGGCAGCCTGCGCGTGCTGCTCGTCGAGGACGACGACTCCACGCGTCATGTCGTCGCCGCGCTCCTCCGAAACTGCTCTTACGAAGGTGCGTCGCGGTCGTACCTACGGGGGGCGCGACGGGAGGCTAGCGCAGCCGCTGTAGGGTCGGCCGGCGTAGATTTCGCTAAGCGGTCAGTGCGTGCTGGGACACGAAGGAGTAACCGGCGAGTTAATCGGCGAGTTAAACGGCGGGTTAACCGTGCTGCCAGCGAAGGACAACGGCTGCGTCCGGGATGGACATAGCGGATTAGTGGCAGAGTATCGCGTAGACCCGAATGACGGCTAGCTTTCACAGCGCTGGCCGCTGCGGCTCATGCGGGGAAGGAGAAGCTTACGCGGGGATGACTGCGACCAAGTTTGACGGCTGAAGTGTTCAGTTACCGTCTAGCCGCTCCCCATTCTCCCAAGCTTAGCCTTCTTTCTCGTCGGCCTCTGTCAGTGTCTCCAATCAAATCTCGATTTTTCCCCCGTCTCCTCCCTCCCGCCTCCCCACCCCCTCCCGCTTCTCCTCTCCTATCTCGAAACTGTTTCTCCCCGATACAGTCACACCCGCGTCGAGCGGGCAGCACGCGTGGGAGATTCTATCGAGCGGCAGCGGCGGGCGGTTCGACCTGGTGCTGACGGACGTGGTGATGCCCGGGCTGTCGGGGATCGCGCTGCTCGGACGTATCATGGGCAAGGAGGAGCTGCGCGGCATCCCCGTTATAAGTACGCGCGCAAGGGATGGCAATGTCGCGTCGTGCACTTCATGTGACTGGGCTTTTTCCGGGATTTGAAACACTTCATGTTGAATGGTGTATTGACTTCACTTCTCCCGCGTGTTCCCTCTCATCGCTGTATCGTCGTCGCTCCTTCAACAGCGATGTCGTCGCAAGACGCCATGGAGATGGCGCCTTGCTCGCGACTCAACCGCTCGTCCTCCTCGTCCCTCCTGCACATCCCCCTGCACATCCCCCTGCACATCCCCCTGCACATCCCCCTGCACATCCCCCGGCACATCCCCCTGCACATCCCTCTCCCCCTCTCCCCTTCCCGCACTGGCGGTGATGTCGTCGCACGACGCCATGGAGATGGTGCTCAAGTGCGTCCAGTCCTCGTCTGTTGACCCTCTCCCCCCCCGCACTTCTCCCCCGCCCTCCCTTCCTCCTCCCGCCTTCGCCTTTCCCCGCAGTGATGTCGTCGCACGACGGCATGGAGATGGTGCTCAAGTGTTTCCAGAAGGGCGCGTCCGACTTCCTCGTGAAGCCGGTGCGCAAGAACGAGCTCAAGAACCTCTGGCAGCACGTCTGGCGCCGATGCCACTCCGTACGCGCCCTCTCCCATCCCTCTCTGGCTCTCGCCATTGCCACTCTAGCTCCCTCCATGTGATATAAGACGTCTCAAAACCTTCTCTGGCTCTCGCCATTGCCACTCTAGCTCCCTACCTTCCCTCTCCCGTCTCCCTTCCATTCACCCCGTTATTTTCGCCCCGCTCGCCCTTCTCTCCGTCTCCCTTGCTTTCTCCTCTCCCTTCCTTCTCCACCCGTTTCCCTGGCGCCTCTTCTGTTCCGTACACCCTCCCCGCGCCCCCTCACTTGCCGTTTCTCTCCGCGTTTGCTCCCTGCGTCCTGGCCAGTCGAGCGGCAGTGGCAGTGGCAGCGGCAGCGGCACGAACGGCAAGGTGCTGCTCACCAAGCAGCCCGCGCCCAACGGCAGCGGCGGCGACGCTGCTGCTGCTGACGCCGCCCGCGCTGCTAACGCCGACGGCGGTCGCGGCGTCGGCGGCGGCGGTGAGGGTGAAGGGTCGCGGGAGGCGGAGGAGCGAGAGGGGGAGGGGGAGGATGCGTACATGGACTCGAATGGCAATGCGAATGTGGACGCCAATGGCGGCAGCGACAACGGCAGCGGCACTCAGCTGGCCACCCAGGTGAGCCCCTCACCTGACCATTGCTCTTCTCCCCTTCTCTCTCCTCCCCCCCCTGCCCCCCCTCCCCCCCCCTCTTCCCCTTTCCTCCTTTTCCTTCCGACCTTCTTCCCCTTCCCCCCCCCCCCCCCCTCTTTCTGTCCCCTCTTCCCCTGCGTCTCTTACTTCACCCCGACTTTCCGTCTGCCACCGCCCTGACCTCCTCGCTCACCTCTCTCCCGCGCGCTCGCTGATGATGCCAGGTGGAAGGCCAGCACGTGCAAGCCAAGGCCAAGCACGAGAGGTGGGAGAGGGGACGGGAGGTAGACAGGAGGCGACAGGACGCAGGTGCGGCGAGGGAGGGTCGGCGGCAGCAGCAGCGGGGCAGAGGGGGCAGTGCGGAGCGAGCGGCGGCCGCTGTGCGCGCAGCTGATGCGGTGATGGAGAGCATGCAGGCGTCGGGCGAAGGTTCGACGAAAAAGGAGGAGTGTGAGGGGCGGCAGCAGGAGGGGGAGGAGATGGAGACGGGGCAAGCGGAAGCGGAGGCGGCGGTGGCGGTGAAAGAGCGGATGTATGACGCTGCTGCTGCTGCTTCTGCTGCTGGCGCTGCTGCTGCTGCTGGCGCTGCTCCTGGTGCTGCTGCTGCTCCTGGTGTTCTTGCTGCTGGCGCTGGCGTTGCGGCAGGTGGAACTGCAGCTGCAGGCAACCCTGTAACTCCTGCTGCTGCTGCTGCTGCTGCTGCTGCTGCTGCTGCTGCTTCTGCTGCGGCCTCTGGGGTGGAAGCAACACCGATGATAATGCACGTGGTATCCTCGGTGGTCGGCTGTTTGCACAACGAGTCACTCTCCCATGGGGCTGTTCCTGCTCTTATCGAGATGGCTTATAAGGCAGACACGGAGGGGAAGAAGGTGCGGTGGAGCGTCAGCACTGACAAGGAGGGAGCATTGGAGGGAGCAGCGGTGGGTGCAGAGGAAGAGGAAGATGCAGAGGAGGAGGAAGGTGCTTCTCCCGCCAAGCACTTGGGAGGCGTGCAAGTGGAGAGCGAAGCTGAAAAGGACGTGATTGTGAAGGGCGGAGACACACAGGGAGGTCCACAAATGGACTTGTTGATGAGGGAAAGCAGTGAGGCGGAGATGGCGGCGGGGGTGGGACACGGGGCGCGGGCGGGGGAGCGGCAGGCGGAAGGAGAGGCGGGAGCGGAGGATGGACTAAAAGGGGCGGGGCACATTGATGGTGGTGTTGACGTGCGGAAGAGAGGGCGAGAGGAGGGAGACGATGCGGAGGGGAAGAAAGCAGAGGGACTAGAGGGAGCAGAGAGAGCAGCGGAAGCAGCGGAGGGCGGAGCGGAGGATGATGCGAGGAGAGTGAGAAGACGAGTGGCAGCAGCCGAGGGTGGGGAGGAGGATAGAGGTCACGAGGAGGGGGTGGTGCGGGATGGTGCTGCCGCGCGGGATGGTGCAGCCGGGCGGGCGGGAGAGACAGGAGAAACAGGAGAGGCGGAGCAGCAAATGGAGAGGCCGCGACAGCAGGGCAACTGGACGCAGGATCAGAGCTACTACCATCACAGCCACCACCATCACCACCACCACCAGCATCTGCCACAGCAGCACCATCAGCAGCAGCTTCAGCACCACGCGTCCCAGCATCAAGCGCCGTGGCAGCATTCGCCCTGGCAGCACTCGGGCCTATCGGCTTTCAGCCGCTACTCCACTGCACCCGGTGCAACCGTCGCTATTCCACCCCCTGCTGCGGCTGCGCCGGGTGCGCCTGCTGCTGCTCCTGCAGCGGCTGTTCCTCTTGCTGGCGCTGCTCCATTCCCCAACCGTCTGCTTACGCCTCCTGTTACAGGCACACCTGACACTGGCGCGTCTGGTACTGTCACTCCTGGTTCCTCTGCTGCTGTTACTGCTGGGGGGCACCAGCAACCGCACCATCATCAGCATCATCATCAGCAGCAGGAGTGCCGGCAGCAGCTGTTCTCACACACTCCTCTTGACCAGGTGTCCAGCCAACAGCACAAGTTAGCGGTTGGTTCGGGCGGTCTGGGCGGAGGTTCGGGAGGTACGGCTGGAGGCTCGGGAGGGAAGATGGATGGCAGCAGTGGGCTGACCAGTGTGCGGGATGGCGGTGGTAAAAGCGGAAACGGAGGGAGTGGGGAGAAGGGGAGTGCGAATGGGGAGGGGAGGAGAGGAGGGAACGAAGGGGATAGCGGACTGGCAGTGGCACAGAAACTACCAGGAGAAATGAATATTGCTGTTGCAGGAGCACCAACTGCCAATGCAGCTGCAGCAGCGCCAGAAGCAGCAGCACCACCAGCAGCAGACGCAGCAGCAGCAATGCTTGGGCTTGGAGTGATCAGACCAGCAGCACCAGCAGCCGTAGCAGCAGGGCAACATGCGGACACCGCCCCCCTCCACTACAACCCTGCCATCCCCTCCCCCTTCGCCCGCCCTTTCACTGACGCCTTTCCCGCCCCTCCTGCGGCTGCCTCCGCCATGTTTCACGGCTTCAACCCGTTCACCCTGCTGCCCGGACACACCGCTTTTGCAGGCCCGGGCAGCTCCACGCCGATCCGAGGAGTTTCACCTGCCCAGGGGGAGGATCTGGACGGGTGCGGGGCAGCAGGGAGCAGCCGGGAGGGGCAAGGGGGAAGGGGTGGGGGGACAGGAGTAGCAGATGGTGCTGGGGGTGCGCCTGCTGCTCGTGACCCCGCTCTACCTGGTTCCACCGCTCCTATTACACCTCTTGGCCTTCCCTCCGTTTCTGGGTTTCCATTTGACCCGTCCACTAGCGCGTACCTCCCCCCTGTGTACTATGCTGCGGCGGCTGCTGCTACGGCAGCAGCAGGGGTGCCCCCTCCGTGGCTGTACTCCCCGCAGGTGCCGCAGCTGGCGCAGCAAGCCATGCAGCAAGCAATGCAGCAGGCGATGCTGCAGCAGATGCAAGCACAGCAGCAGTTGCAACTGCAGCAGCTTGGGCAGTTTCAGTTACCTCAAGCACCAGCGCCAGCGCCAGCACCAGCAGCAGGACCAGCAACCGCAGCAGCAGCCGCAGCAGCACAGCAGCTCAGCCTGCTTTCAAGTCTTGCTCCCAGCGTGTCACCCTCACCGTTCCTTCCCAACCGTCCTGCCCTCACCCGCCTGCAGCCACACGCCCCCCACGCCTCCGTCCATCCCTCGCCTCTCTCGCGCCCTCCCTCCCTCCCCTTCCTCTCAACCCCCACAGCCCAGCTGAGCCCTGCGCCAAACCCTCACGAACCTCAAGGTCTACCCCACCAGGAGAAGTACACAGGTGCGGTTACCGAAGCCACTGGGGCAACTGCTTCTGCCGCCGCCGCTGCTGCTGCCGCCGCCGCTGCTGGTGCGGCTGCTGGCAGCACAGCGTGTGCTAGTCGTCTGCCTCCTGCTGCTGTGCTCAAGCAGCCCCTTCCTCCCTGGGCGGTTGGCGGCAGCAGCGGGCAGAGGCACGGGCAGGAGCAGCAAGGGAGGGAGCAAGGGAAGGAGAAGGATCGCAGTGAGCTGGTGGTAAAGGTTGAAGGCGATGCTCATGACGATGGGCATGTAGATGGGGGCATGGTTGATGCTGCATGTGAAGGTAAACAGCCGCAGCCGCACCATCATCACCATCACCATCAGCACCAGCATCACCACCAGCATCATAACCAGCAGCAGAAGCAGGGGCACCTGGTGCATCAGAGCAGCTTCAGCGCTGTGTCTCCTGCCACCATGGGCTCTGCTGCTGCTGCCGGGCAAATTCCCGCACCTGCAGGTGCAGCAGCTGACAGGTCAGCAGCAGCAGCAGCAGCTGCCAGGTCAGCAGCAGCAGCAGCAGCTGACAGGTCAACAGCAGCAGCAGCTGCCAGCAATCACAGGAGCACCAATGCTGACAGAGAGGAGGATAACAGGGAGGATGGCGATGGGAATGGAAGTGGGAGCGGAGAGGGTGGGAGTGGGAGTGGGATTGGGGTGCAAAGTGGTCAGGGCAGTGGTGGTGGGGGCAGCGATGGTGGGGGCAGTGGGCGGGACAGCAGGGAAGCAGCTCCAGCGGGGGTCAGTGGGAGCGCTGGCAATGCTAGTGCTGGTGCTGCTGTTGGTGGTGCTGCTGCCCGTGGTAATGCTGGCAGCGCACTGGGTGGGGAGAGCACCACCGGGTACAGCAACAGCACGGGCCCTGGGAGCGTTCACACGCCGATGGAAGCCAGCAGGGGGGGTGGGGTCAAGATGGTGAGCCTCATGGGGCACGCTGTGGCCTTCTCCCCTTGTGCTGCCGACGCATCCGGCACTGCTGCCACCACAGGGGAGGTGGTGGACAGGGAGGAGGAAAGCGAGGACAAGGAGATGGTGGTGCGGGAAGGGGCAGGGGGTGGAGCAGCAGGAGTGGGCACGGCAGCCCAGCAGTTCCACAACTCGGATTTCCCTGGCTCTGGTACGGGGATTGCCCATCCTCAGGAACCGGCTGCTGCTGAAGCTGCTGCCTGTGCCTGTGGTGTGCCTGCCTGTGGGAGTGCTCAACCCACAGGCCAGTGCCTGGCTGTAGCAGCAGCAGCAGGAGGGGGGTGTGCGGTTGGGGTTGCAGTACCAACCGTGTTGAGCCGGCAAGCCGTGCGAGAGGCAGCGCTGAATAAATTCAGGCAGAAGCGCAAAGACAGGTGCTTCGAGAAAAAGGTATGCGCATAGCCTTTTGGTGTGTTGTTGCTCAGTCCTGTGCCTTCCACATGGTGTTTGAGACAGTATAGGCACTTACTACCATTCCTGTGTGCCCTTGCCATTCTGTCTCATTCAGGTCCGTTACCAGAGTCGGAAGCGCTTGGCAGAGCAAAGGCCTCGGTTCAGGGGCCAATTTATAAAGCAAGCCCCTACCAGTGTTGATGCGAGTGCAACTGGTGATTTGGCTGTTGTAGGCTCTAACCCTCCTGTCAACAGGGGATGGAACACCAAATACTAACATGACTCGTGTGCGTTTTATATATATGTATACATAAAATAGGTTTGCTTGCGTCAGTGCTGTGGTGGATTGGAGGCAATGTCATGGGTGTCGCAATATCTGCCAAGGAGCAGGCGAAAAGTGTAATTGGGCATGCTAACCTTGTAAAATGGGTGGTGTAATAGGTTTCGATTGGAATATTTTGATTGCACGACATGGTATTTGAATATCGACCACCACCTTGTAGAAGTGCCATGTTCATATCGAGTGTCTTCCTATGAGGTCGTTCTTCGTTCACGAAGCAGTCGAAACGAAACCCCTGACATCCTTTCTGGTAACACAGGCGGGTGGTGCGCTTCGCAGAACCTGTCAGCCTCGCCGAATGGATGTTTTGGAACTTCGGTTTCGAATGGAACTCTTCGCAGAATCGCACGATCGACACACAGCAGCGTCCAGCGTCGCGTGCCCGTCGCAGGCACGACGGAGTTACTCCAAGAGCCTTCAGTTCAGGCACCCACACAACCCTCTCACACTTTCATCCAACCAACCCCTCCAGAGTTTCGATCTGCCTCCTCTCCAGATTCAGCAAACCAGCAGGATTCCGAAGAAGCTAGGGTAGCGTGTGCTAGATTACCGATCAGGATCTGCCCTGGTCCGAAGTTAGTCTAGCCCGTTCCTTTCGTTCCGTCAAGATGTCCGCCTTCACTGGGACGACCACAAAATGCAAGTCTTGTGGGAAGACCGTGTATTTGATGGAGCAGTTAATTGCGGACGGTGTCATCTACCACAAGCATTGTTTTCGGTAAGCATTTAGATGCGGCAGATTCGCCACGTGTGCGCATGACAAGCGCTGACCCAGATATTCCTGTTGTGCGTCGTGCGCAGGTGCTTTCATTGCAAGGGTACCCTTAAGGTATATTTGAGTTGACTTTTCTTTCCCCTCCACCTATGCACGATCGACCATCTGTGCTAACGATTCCTGTTTCCTGCTTGAACAGCTGAATAACTTCGCTTCGCTTGAAGGCGTTCTGTACTGTAAACCCCACTTCGATCAGCTCTTCAAGAAGACTGGGTGCTACAGCAAGAGCTTTGAGGAGGCCATTAAGTCGGAGAAGGAGAAACCCGTGGCACCTGGAAGTGAGTCTGTTCTTTAACACCAGCGGATAGGTCGGTTTATGCCTGTTTTGCTTGCGAGTTTCTCAGCCATTGTTTTGCGGTTGCAGGCGTGACATCCACCACATCAAGATTCGGAGGGGACAACAAGGTAGGCTAGTGGTAATCCTGTTTGTCGTTTCTGCCCCTCTAACAACCCAACGCTGAATGTAGTCGTGTTTGATTGGGCTTGATATTGTGCAGAGAGTCGTCAATCCTTTGGCAGCGAGGTTCGGCGGGACACAGGAGAAGTGCGTGGTTTGCAGCAAGACAGTATATCCCTTGGAGAAGGTATGTGTGCTCCCGTCTTCTCTTTTGCGTTGCTCGATGGATGGACTCTCGCGCTCACATAGGTTGACCTGCCGTTTCAGGTTAGTGTTGAAAACTCGACGTACCACAACCAGTGCTTCAAATGCGTCCACAGTGGATGCAAGCTCACGACCTCGACCTACCAAGCCTTAGGAGGGAAGCTGTATTGTAAGGCGCATTTCCAACAGCTGTTCTTGATGAAGGGCAATTTCACAGAGATGCAGCGTGAAACTGGGGACGGAGCTGATGCTGGATCACAAGCTGCAGCTGCGGTGTCATCTGTATCCATATCCAAACCTTCAACTGCCTCGCCTGCGAAGGCCGTGGCCGCTGCCGCTTCTGAACCACCTCCCATCTCAGCTGTGAAAGAAGAGGAACCTGCGTCGTCTTCAGCACCACCGCCGCCAGCTGCTGCAACCTCAGCCCCAGCAAAGCCAGTTGAAGAGAAGAAGCCGCCGCCACCTCCTGCCAAAAAGGACGACTCAGACTCTGATGACGATGACAGTGATGATGACAGTGACGATTCTGATGACAGTGATGACTCAGATTCCGACTGAGCGGTGCAGATCTGGTGAGAGCATCCGAGCACTTGCAGTCCGATCGATGTCACCATGGACGTCCCAAATTTCTAGGGTCAAGTATTTACATCTTCAGTTCCAGTTCTATATGTAGGCGGGGTAGACACTTTTCGCATGTGATATTCAGTCCACCAGAAATTTCACTCCGTGCAGTGCTAGCTTGGAGGGTTTCTGATTTGCCTTGGGTGGAGTAGCACAGGTTTGTGGCCACATTTAGTTTTGGCTGTTCAGAGTTTGTAATATGAGATGTCTTCATGAAGTTCCAATATTTTGCTGGCAATCTCATTCTACATGTTACCGGTGGTGTTTCAGCGAGTGCATTTCATCGCTACACTCATTGGTGTGGGCCATGATCTTCGCAGAACTCGACTCTAATTTAGGTGGCGTTTCGCGAAGCATTTCTCAGCCGCAAACACGACGCGCGAGAATCGCTCACTCTCAAACGGAGACCCATGCGAACCAACCAATACCCTTGACCTTAGATGGTTCTTCGACCCGATTGGTTCCTGAAGATATGTTTGCCAGTTTTGGATATTGCCAGTTCGCGATTCCCGCAGCCCCGTGTCTGCCAAGCGGCCCCCCGCAGCTGCCTGGTAAAACAAAATCAGAGTGCTGTGAGAGCAAGAGCTTGGTCCGTGCTCAATCGTTGCTCCTCTACTCACTGTCAAGATCTATGGCTTCCGTCACCATGCAGGCTGCGTCTACGGCCGTTGTGGCCAAGTCCGCCTTCCTTGGCGCTGGCCAGTCGCGCCTCGCTAAGTCGATCCGTGCTGCTGCGCAGCCGGCATCCGTGTCGGGCCTTAAGATTGAGGCCAAGGGCAACTGGCTCCCAGGCTCTACCTCTCCCGCCTGGCTCGATGGCAGGTACTTCATGGGTCTGCTTTTTGTAGTGATTCGGTCTGAAGTAGTTATGTCGATCCGCGTTCAGCACTCAGGTCTCTTAATGTGCGCAATCTGATTTCCTGATGCAGCCTTCCCGGCGACAACGGCTTCGATCCCCTTGCCCTGGCTGAGGATCCCGAGAACCTCAAGTGGTACGTGCAGGCCGAGCTCCAGAACGGCCGCTGGGCCATGCTTGGTGTTGCCGGCATGATCATCCCCGAGGCTCTGACCTCCGCTGGGCTCCTGGATATCCCGGTGTGGTACGACACTGGTGTCACTGAGTTCTGGATTCCCACCCCCACCCTGTTCGCGATCGAGTTCATCCTGTTCAACTTCGTCGAGCTGTTGAGGTGGCAAGACATCAAGAACCCCGGCAGCGTGAGCGAGGACCCCTTCGGCAACAAGCTCCCTGCTGGTGATGTGGGATACCCCGGCTTCAACCCCATGGGTCTCTCCACCGACTTCCGCACCAAGGAGAGCGAGCTGGCCAATGGTGAGTTAACATTTCGAAGTCTATCTCGTGCCTCAGTGCTTTTGTTCCCTATCATGTGACTAATTCTCATTTGCTCGCTCATTTCCAGGCCGTACTGCCATGATTGCTTTCTTGGGCATCATTATCCAGTCCCACATCACCGGTGCTGGTCCTTTCGCCAACCTCCTTGCGCACCTTTCTGACCCATGGAACACCACCGTTTTCCAGAGCCTGGATGCTTTCTACGCTTCTCACTAAGTTAATGCTCTGTACATTTGGATATATTTCTCATACTGGTAGATACATTTAAACCCGTAATCTATGTAGTTCCTAAGCCGTGCTGAGAATTATGTTGTGAGGTGATTTGTTCAGAATAGACCATTCGTGCAAATGGCCAGAAACCTGACAACTTCAGCAGACCACACTTTCCTAGATTGATATTTTCCCAGACTGGTAGTCCTCTCCTGAATCTAGCCTCTGCTGAGCCCAACCATGCATTGTACCACGGGTAACTGCTCTGAACCAGTTCGCATAGAAATTACATTACACTGTAGTGCGCGAATCTGGGACAAGGTTGGCCAGGGAGGAGGCCGAAGGAACAAGCTTGGATGGTTGTTATGGTAATGGGTTGCCGATTGAGTTGCTGACGAAGGGACGTGCCACTGTCTAAAAGCTGAGTAAGCGGCATGATTATTCCCGCTGTTGGGCTGAGAAAAGCCCTTAGGATCTTTCCAGAGACCAAGTCCCAGTTGAAGAATAAGACTTGAGCGTCAAACATGTGTATTTGTCATGTTTGTATAGACTGTATAGGGTAGCCTCTTAGAGGGTACAACACTTAGGTATATCTGTGTGTACCCTCTCTCTAACATCATTCACTTCTTCAATTTTGATATGGTATCACGCGTAGGTAGGATCCCCCCCCCACCTACCGCTTCCGCTCGCCCCCCTAGCCCCGTCGCGACCCCCCCCTAGCCCCGTCGCGCCCCTTCCTAGGACCCGTCGCGCCCCTCCCTGGGCCCCGTAGCGCCCCTTCCCGGGCCCCGTCGCGCCCCTCCCAGGCCCCGTCGCGCCCCTCCTGGGCCCCGTAACGCCCCTCCTGGGCCCCGTCGCGCTCCTCCTAGGCCCCGTAACGCCCCTCCTGGGCCTCGTCGCGCCCCTCTTGGGCTCCGTAGCGCCCCTCCTGGGCCCCGTCGCGCCCCTCCCAGGCCCCGTCGCGCCCCTCCTGGGCCCCGTAGCACCCCTCCCAGGCCCCGTAGCGCCCCTCCTGGGCCCCGTAGCGCCCCTCCTGCGTCCCGTCGCGCCCCTCCCATGCCCCGTCGCGCCCCTCCTGGGCCCCGTAGCGCCCCTCCCAGGCCCCGTAGCGCCCCTCCTGGGTCCCGTCGCGCCCCTCCCAGGCCCCGTAGCGCCCCTCCTGAGCCCCGTCGCGCCCCTCCTGGGCCCCGTCGCGCCCCTCCTGGGCCCCTGCAGCTCCCCTCCTGGGCCCCCCCGTCGCGCTCGCCCGGCCCCGTCGCACCAGCCCGGCCCCGTCCTGCTCGCCCGGCCCCGTCGCACCCGCCCGGCCCCGTCGCACCCTGCCCGGCCCCGTCGCAGCCGCCCGGCCCCGTCGCACCAGCCCGGTTTCGTCGCGCCCGCCCGGCCCCGTCACACCGGCCCGGCCCTGTCGCCCCCGCCCGGCCTCGTCGCCCCTGCCCGGCCCCGTCGCGCTCGCCCGGCCCCGTCGCCCCGGCCCGGCCCTGTCGCACCAGCCCGGCCCCGTCGCGCCCGCCCGGCCCTGTCGTCCTCGCCCGGCCCGGTCGCACCTGCCCGGCCCCGCTGCCCCGGCCCCGTCCTCCTCACTGGTACGGTTCCCCCCCACCCCGCACTACACCGCACTGCATCGCACCGCACTGCACTGCACCACCCCGCCCTGCACCGCACTGGACTGTTCCTGATGGCGGCGGAGCTTCGCTTCGACGCTGAAGGTCAGCCCCTAGAGTTCGAGGCGTGGCTTGCCGACCTCCGCCGCCAGCTCACTGGCCAGCGGCAGGATGGTGAACCGCTTTCCGCACACCTTGACGGTACGCTCCCCTGCCCAGACCCCCCTGCTATTCTGCCCGCTGACCCCACACCCACTGAGCGTGAGTCTACTGCTGCCACTGCCCGTGCGCGCTCTGTCTGGCTTTCTCGCGATGCTGTCGCCCAGCTTGCCATTAGCAACGCCCTCCCCCCGTCCGAGCGTCCTCGCTTTAGGTCCCTCATTACTGCTCAGGCATACTTAGATGCTGTCATCAAGCGCAATTCCACCCCTCCGGCTGCCTCGGTGGGTCGCCTGATCCTCCCGATGCTCTTTCCTGACCTTGCATCTTTCCCCACTGTCTCTGACCTCGCTGCCCACCTGCGCTCGATAGAGGAGACCTGGCGCGCCGCCTGCACTGACGCACAGCTTAGAGCCCACCAGCCGCCCATTACCTCTACCCTCTACCTGCTTGCCACCCGCCTCCCTGACCGCCTTGCTGTCGCCCGCGACCGCTTCCTTAGCATTCACCCCGCCGACCTCACCCTCACTGACTTTGTAGACACCCTGACTGTGATAGAGACCCGTCACCGCTCCATCGCCCAGGCGAGCGGTGTCGTGCCGGTCCCTATCTTTCAGGGTTGTGCCCCCGCCCAGTGTACCTTCTCCGACGGCTCTGTCGCAGTGGCTGAGACTGCTGCTGCAGCGCAGTTTCGTTCGGGGAAGGGCCGCCGCCCCAAGGTTGGGCGCGGCGGAGGCGGCGGCGGGGGTGCGGGAGGGGGTAGTGGTGGGGTCGGGTCGTCTGGTGCTGGAGCGGACGAGGGGACCCTGCCCAGTCCAGCTGAGCCGCCGCCCCTGCAGTTGCAGCAGCCGCAGCAGTCGCCGCAGTCGCAGCCGTCGCAGCAGCCGCCGCAGCCGTCGCAGCCGCGGCAGACGAGTGTCCTCCCGCCCGGGTGGCCCGGCGCTGGCGGTGGCCGGGCGCGTGGTGGTGTGTCGAGTGGTAGCTCTGGCGGCGGGCGCTGTCAGTACCAGATCCAGACCGGTCCTCGCCGTGGCTTCGTATGTGGTAAGCTCGGTCACTCCACTCCCCGCTGTTTTCGTCGCCTGGACGACCTCTTTCGTCAGCGCTTCGGCTCGTCGCCAGACCTCCCGGACTGGCACAGTTTGCTTAGTCGTAAGATTCAGATCTTTGATATGGACATGGATGCCATTGTTGCTGCTCTGCATGTGATGTATGCTGATGACTCTAGTGTGCTTCCCGCTTATTACTCACTGTTGCCTAGTGTAGGTGTGCCTAGTGTACCCTCCCCTGCTGCGTCAGGCGTAGGATCCTCTGCTTTGTGTAGTCTTGGTGCTTCCGCCGTCGTTCCGTCGCCAGACGCCTCTGCTTCGCTTTCCTTCACCTTGGACTCTGGCGCTTCTCGGTGTTTCTTCCGCGACTCCACCACCCTGACGCCGCTTCCCGTCCCTGCTGCCGTTTCTCTCGCTGACCCCTCTGGCGGTCCGGTAGTCGCCCGCAGTTCCACCACCCTTCCCTGTCCGGCGGTTCCTTCGGGCTCTCTTACAGGTCTGCATATCCCCTCGTTCTCCAGGAACCTAGCTGGTGTCGGCTGCCTCCAGGACCTTGGCGTCACCACTATGTTCCCTGGTCACGAGCGGTATGCTGTCTGTACCGAGGCCGCCACTGGTGCCCCCCTGTCCACGTTCCCCCGGGACCCGGTGTCCGGCCTGTTCACTCTGGACACCGTGACCCCCCCGGCTGGAGCGCTCACCCAGGTTGCTGCTGCCTGCTCCTGTCGGTCCCTCACTCACCCGACCCTCCTTTGGCACCACCGCCTAGGTCACCCTGCGCTCCCGCGTCTGCGTCACATGTCCCAGCACGGTCTTGTCCTTGGTCTCCTAGGTTCTCTCGCTGCGTTTCCCTCCTCCCCAGCCCCACCTTGCACGCCTTGTGTCGAGGGTCGGCTTCGCCGTGCCCCTCACTCCTCCTCGTTTCCCCCTACCGCCGCGCCGTTGCAGACCCTACACCTGGACGTATGGGGCCCCGCCCCTATCCCTGGGCCGCGTCGAGAGCGCTACTTCCTTGTGCTTGTCGACGACTTCACTCGCTACACCACAGTCTTTCCCCTGGAGCGCAAGGCCGACGTGCCTGGCGCTCTCATCCCCTGGCTTGTCTCTGCGCGTGTCCACCGCGGTCTCCCTGTCTTGCGTCTTCACTCAGACCGTGGTGGCGAGTTTGCCTCAGGTGTCCTTGGTCGCTTTTGTCGTGCGGAGGGCATCACCCAGACGTTCACCCTACCGGACTCCCCACAGCAGAATGGGGTCGCTGAGCGACGCATCGGTTTGGTCATGGAGGTGGCTCGCACCTCCATGATCCATGCCGGTGCACCCCATTTTCTGTGGCCATTCGCTGTGCGCTACGCTTCTCACCAGCTTAACCTGTGGCCGCACCCTCAGCAGCCGCAGGTTTCGCCGACCCGTCTTTGGACTGGGTCTCCTGGTGACGCGTCTGCGTTCCACGTCTGGGGCTGTCTTGCTCACGTCCCTGCCTCCGGCACGGACAAGCTCACTGCCCGCACCCTTCCCTGCGTCTTCCTTGGTTTTCCCCTTGACGCGTCCGACTGGCACTTTTACCACCCGCCGTCTCACCGCTTCTTTCACTCTCGTGACGTCACCTTTGACGAGTCCGTCTCCTACTACCGTCGCTTCCCCCACCGTGGTCCCCCGGTTACTCCCCCCCTGTTCCTGGTCCCTCCTTCCCCGGTAGTCCCTGCCCCTCCTCCTCCTCCTCCCCGTCCCGCCCCCTCTGGTGTGTCCCACGTCAAGCCCCTTCCGTCGGTGGACCCGGTTGAGGAGTCTTCTGACTCTGGTGGCCCTCCTGTGCAGTCCTCGTCAGCCGCCCCTCCCCTGGCGTCCCCTCCCCAGTCCCCTCCTCCCCCGCTTCTGCCGCCGCTGCAGCCGTCGTTGCCGCCGCCGCCGCCGCCGCCGCTGCCGTCGCAACACCCGTTCGCTGACTCTGGGGGTGCTCGTCCCGGTAGCCCTGGGGGTGGTCCCTCTGGGGGTGCTGGTGTGGAGAGTGTCGGGGGTAGCCGAGGAGCAGCTAGCGGTCCCGGTCTCGCCGTTGTGCCGCCGCAGCAGCAGTCCCCGCCGGTGTCAGCCCTTCGCCTGCTCGGCCTTCCGTCCCCCGACCCTGCGTCGGTTCCTCCCCGACCGTCTCCTCCTCTTCCTGTCTACGGCCCTGTTTTCCCTCCGCCGGACTCGTCCCCGGCTCGTCTCCCCTCTCGTTCCCCTCCTATGTCCCCTCCTCTGTCTCCTGACCCGACTCCTCCGTCGCACGTCTGGTCTCACCGTCCCTTCCGCGCTCGTCCTGCCTCGCCTGTCTTGCGCTCCCACCCTATGTTGCTTCGTTCCCACGCGTCTCGTCCTCCCCTTCTGCCGTCGCCTCCTCCGTCCTCTCTTGTTGTTGCACCCCTCCCGCTGTCTGACTACCTTCGTGCCGCTCGTCCCCTTGTTCCTCGGGTCCTTGCCTCTCTCGTTACCGACCCGTCTGTTCCGGCCTCGTGCCTTGACGCCCTTGTTGCTGCTGTCGCTGACTTCGCCTCTTCCCGCCGCCTTGACTACGCCTCCGCTCTGGTCTCTGACCCTGCCTGTCCTCCGTCTGTCGGGGGTGCTCCTGCCCTTAGCAGTGACGTCCTGGAGGACCGCCAGTTCGAGCTTGCTTTCCTGTCCGAGGCTGCTCCCCATCTCTGTTCCATGCTGCTAGTCCCTGAGGGTGACCCAGACGCTTTTGACATCCCGACCCCTCGCACTTACGCTGAGGCGACCTCGGGACCTTGGGCCTCGCAGTGGATAGCTGCCATGGAGCAGGAGATGGCATCTTGGAGATCCACCGGCACCTTCGTCGACGCAGTTCCCCCGCCTGGGGTGAACGTAGTCGATGGCCGCTGGCTCTTCAAGGTGAAGCGCCCTCCTGGAGAGCCGCCTGTATTCAAGGCGCGCTACGTGGCTAGAGGCTTCAGTCAGCGCGAGGGGGTGGACTTCTTCCAGACCTTCGCTCCGACCCCGAAGATGACTACTCTTCGGGTTCTGTTACACCTAGCTGCTCAGCGTGACTACGAGCTTCACTCCCTCGACTTCTCCACTGCCTTCCTTCAGGGCAGCCTACACGAGCAGGTCTACCTACGTCGCCCTCCGGGCTTTACTGGCACCTTCCCTCATGGGACCCAGTGGCTCCTGCGGCGCCCCGTCTACGGCCTGCGCCAGGCTCCCCGTGAGTGGCACGACACTCTCCGTGCTACGCTTGCTGACCTGCAGTTCTTTCCGTCTTCCGCAGACCCTTCCCTCTTCGTTCGTGCTGGCCAGACTCCGTTCTACATCCTTGTTTACGTCGACGACCTGGTCTTTGCCACAGCAGACAGGGACGCACTGGCCTCCGTGAAGGCAGAGCTGCTGAAGAGACACACGTGCACTGACCTTGGAGAACTGCGCCGTTACCTTGGCTTGCAGATCTCCAGGGACAGAGCTGCGCGCACCATCACCTTGACTCAGTCACACTTGGTGCGCCAGGTCCTTCAGAGGTTCCGCCTTCAGTTCTCCTCTGCACAGCCCACCCCTCTGCCTGTAGACCACAGACTCTCCGCTCCAGTGTCTGAGGAGTTGGTAGAGCCCAGCGGCCCCTACGCAGAGCTGGTGGGTTGCCTCATGTACCTGATGACTTGCACTCGCCCAGATCTCGCATACCCTCTCAGCATCCTGGCTCATTTTGTGGCCACAGGCAGACACCGACCGCAGCACTGGTCTGCCGCTAAGAGGGTTCTGCGTTATCTTGCTAGTACATCGGGCATGGGGTTAGTGCTGGGAGGACGCAGGCCAGTGGTCCTTACTGGACACACAGACGCTTCGTGGGCAGACGACGCCGAGACACTCAGGTCTACCCAGGGCTACTGCTTCAGCCTTGGCTCAGGTGCCGTCTCGTGGAGAGCTACTCGCTCCTCGTCTGTGGCGCAGTCCAGCTGTGAGGCTGAGATCTACGCTGGTGCCATGGCGGCACAGGAGTTCCGCTGGCTGACCTTCTTGCTCACTGACTAAGGTGAGCGGCCTAGCTCTGCCCCGGTCCTGTTCGCTGACAACCGGGCCATGATCCTCCTGTGTCAGGAGCCTCGACTCGAGGGCAGAGCGAAGCACATTCAGCTGCGGTACTTCCTCCTGCGTGAGCTACAGCAGCGACGTCAGGCTCGCGTAGTACACTTGGCCTCAGGTGCCAACACGGCTGATATCTTTACGAAGGCGCTTGCGCCTAAAGATCATCAGCGGCACTGTGTACAGCTTGGTCTAGTTCCTGTAGCCTCTCACTTGATAGGACCTTGACTTTGTACTGTCCTTTATATCCATACTCAGACTGGACTTGTGTCCTCTCCCAGTGGCTGGACTAGTAGTGCCGCCCTGCTCTTGTTCTTGCCTTGTCTGTACTCCTTCTGACTGGTCTCTCAGACCCTTGTCTCAGAGGTTGGACTAGTAGTGCCGCCCTGAGCTGCTTGTTTAGGACATTCCCCTATGCAGTCTAGGGGGTGTGTCAAACATGTGTATTTGTCATGTTTGTATAGACTGTATAGGGTAGCCTCTTAGAGGGTACAACACTTAGGTATATCTGTGTGTACCCTCTCTCTAACATCATTCACTTCTTCAATTTTGATATTGAGTAGTGCAGCGGAAGTTGAGGCAGTTGAACCCTTGTACTAGTATATGAGAACAAGTGATTGAATTGTGAAAGCTTGCTTGGGTCACCTTGGCAAAGGCAGCGTGCTTCATTTCATATGGGCTACAGTACATGGTTCTCGTCCAATAGACTACACCGTCCAATAGGGTGGGTGGGTGGGGAAAACGAAACTGGAACTAGAAATGAAGAACGTGGGTGAGGTCGAATGGCCTCACGTCCCTCTTTTGTAGGCAAAAGAGGGTGAGTAGCGCTTCGACGCTGACCTTGCTGCGTTGGCCCTCGCTACACTTTCACAATACACATTTTTTAGAAAGTGTTACACGCTTTCAAAAAATTACATATTGTGAAAGCTTGCTTGGGTCACCTTGGCAAAGGCAGCGTGCTTCATTTCATATGGGTCTTATGAGGCATGTGAAGCTGGGGCTGGCGGTGTCGCTCGATGGAGAGATGGTGATGTCTGGGCGATGGAGCGGCGGACGCGTCTTGGATGCGTGTGGATGCCGCAAGGAGCTGGTCCTGCGCAATGGTGACGTAGAGATCTTTGGCCGTATCGCTGCGCCAGCGACCGAGTCGCTTGAAGAGCCGGTGAGGGATCCCCAAGTTAGCTGCCACAGTTGCGGCGCCCTTGCGGAAGGAGTGAGTGCCGAGGTGTCTGTTGTCAAGCCCAGCCTTGGCGAAGGCTTCGAGGCACCAGTTGCGGATGGTTGTGTATGACGGAGCGCTGTCGTGAGGGGTTGCTCTGCCGCTGGTGCCAAAGACACGGATCAGTGGTCCATGCGGGGTGGTGCGGTGTCCCGCGAGTTGCAGAAACCGCTGAGTGCAACGGACTGGGCAGTAAGGCCCAGTTGTGGGAGCAACTGGGATCCATTAGCCCTTGCCGTCTTGATCCGTCTTGGAGTGCGGGATTAGGATTCACATAGACTCCACGTCGAAGTGGATGTCGTTCCACTGGATGGAGACGAGGTCGGAGTAGCGGAGGAATGCCGCGAACATGAGGAGTGGGATCAGTCCTTTCTGATATTCTGCCGGGCTGCTCGACTCAAGGAAGGGGTGTGCCATGGCGTGCACCTGGTGGAGCGACAAGGGTTCTTTCGTCCTGGTGGTGCACGGGCCGTGGCGTTTGGAGAATTCAAGGACTTGTGAAGTGAAAGGCCCGCTAGTGGGAGAGGGTTCTCCGGTCATCCGATGTGCAAATGCGACGGCGGAGCACGTAAGGGATATGGCGGATACTGTGGCCTGATTGTTGAGGGCATAGACAAGGTAGAGCGCTAGAGTGGTGTCTGTGGCAGGCAGGTAGCTCAGCTTGACCTTCGTGCAAAAGGAGCGGAACTTGAGCCAATACGGCTCGTAGGTCCTTATGGTGGATGGCGCGCGGACATGACTGATTACCCGAAGTAGCTGTGTCTGTAGTTTTGATAATAAGCCTGAAATACAGAGAGCCCAGGCACGGTGGGGTTATATTTTATATGTCACATGCAACGCAATGACCGGGCTATTGGGAAAACCGAGACCAACAAAGGCGAGTGAGTGTGTGCGTGGGGATAGGCATTGGCTGCCTTGAGTGAGGGGAATATGTGCCTTTACTTCTCGTGCCCAGGTTCGTGGTGCTGGCTGCAGTAGGGGCCACCAAGAGGCTCCTGGCCACTCGGGAATGACCAACGTCAACTCGGCGTGGGTGCGTTGGGCGTGGCGCAGAGTAGCCGGGATGAGGTGGGGGGGGGGGAACGCGAAGCCGCGTTCATCATGCCAGCTGAACGAGAAGGCGTCAACTGCTGTGGCCTTGGGGTGAGGAATCTTGGAGCAGAAGCGCCCCAATTGAGCGTTGTGAACATTCGCGAATAGGTCGACAGAGTGAGGCCCCAGGCGGCGGTCGAGGAGTCGGAACCATGGGGATTTGAGTGAGTAATCATCTCGGTCCTGGACTTTGGAGAGTTCGTCGGCGTGCGCGTTCAGCTCCCGGGGAATCCATTCGATGGCAAGGCGTGTCCGGTTTTTTAAGCAAAGGTCGATGATCGCCTGGCAAAGTAGTGTGAGTGCAGGGATGCTGGAGCCGCCTTTGCGCAGTATGAATACAACCCCCTGGTTGTCCACACGAACTAACACGTGCCGTTTGGAGATGTGGGTATCAAAGGTTCTTAGTGCCCACAGTACACCTTCGAGTTCCCTTCAGGTGCTGGAAGTGTGTAGGAGGTCTTCTGGCATGCGGGAGCTTGCTTCTATTGGGATCCCAGGGAGCGGCATGAGGATGGCGCCCCAACTGTGGGCGCTTGCATCCACGTGGATGACGGCGTCGAACTGGTGACTGAGATGAAATGGGGCGCCGTTAAATTTGTCGAATTGCGCCAGCCAGAAACATAGCTCGTCCACCGCTGCCGGGTGCAGGAGGACCTTGGAGTGCCAGGACGTTGCGTCGGCAATAAGTCGCAGTAGTTCGTGGCTGAATGCTCGTGCCGTCGCGCCCAGTGCTAGGGCCATGGAGGCGAGCATGCCTGTAACTCTTGCGAGGGATCGAACGGGAATATGCCTTCCTGATTGTCCTTGAGTTATCAAGGCCTCAAGTGTGGTTAAGAGTTGAGCCCTTTGCTCGAGTCCGACGGAGAACGTGCCGCGAGTGGAGTCGATTTCCAATCCGAGGAAGCGAAGCTGACGCGAGGGGTGGAGGTGCGATTTTTTGCCGTTAATGATGAAGCCAGCTGCGTTAAGGTCCTGGAGGACTGTCGTACGAGTCAAGCACGCTTGCTGGTGGGAATCGCAGAGAAATAATAGGTCGTCGACATACGGGACCACTCGAACGCCGCTTGCCCGCCATCGCTTGGCAAGTTGTTTAATTAGTTGGGTGAAAACGAATGGAGCAGTTGCAAGGCCGAACGGCAGTGACCGAAAGGAGTAGTAGATGCCTTCGAACTGGAAGCCCAAAAACTGCCAACACGAAGGGTGAATCTCGACATGATGGTATCCAGATTTCAGGTCGATGGAAAACATCCAGTCATCTCGGCGGATGAGCTCGGCTACACGATTCAGACCCTCGTACTTGAACTTGGGGGCTTCAAGGTGGGTGTTCACTTTCCGCAGGTCAAGGATGAGGCGGCATTTGTCGCGTTGCTTCACGACGTTCAGTGGGCTGACACATGTTAGTGTGTCTCTCTTCTCGATCATTGCAGCAGCGCCGGTCACTACAAGATCGCGAATTGTGGCGCGAGTAAAGTCGAGGTGCGTGCAGACTCCGGCATGGTTGTTGTCCTCGAAGGGTGTGGGGGCTGTATTCTTCCAGGGCAGCCAATACCCTTTAGCGATGACGGAGAGGATAAAGCTACTGTCACACCAGGAGCACCACCAGTGCAAGGCATGCCGCAGTCGACTGCGCATGATGGTCACGTCCCAGTCTGTAGTTGCGAGCTCGTAGGGATCGCATTCCTCTCGTGGCCACCCACTTGGGATCTCTGCATTATACGAGGTTATAAACATGGGTTCATAGATGGGAGTAAGATACTGTGCTCGTGAGCAGGTGCACGATGCGGGGCAAGTGTAGACGGGGCATGACATGCTCGGACCGCACGGCCACTGCCGTGTTAGGTGCTTGCAAGGTGCAAGGGGTACTCGTCTCTCTATCCGCCTTCTCTTTCTCTGTCGCTCTCTCTCTCTCTCTCCATCTCTTTCCCTCTCTCTCTCTCTCTCTCTCTCTCTCTCTCTCTCTCTCTCTCTCTCCTCCCTCTTTCTCTCTCTCTCTCTCCCCCTCTCTCTCTCACTCTCTCCCTCTTTCTCTCTCTCTCTCTCTCACTCTCTCTCTCTCTCTCTCTCTCTCTCTCTCTCTCTCTCTCTCTCTCTCCCTCGCTCTTGCTCTCTCTCACTTTCTTTGACTCTCTCTCTCTCTCTCTCTCTCTCTCTCTCTCTCTCTCTCTCTCTCTCTCTCTCCCCCTCTCTCTCTCTCTTTCTCTCTCTCGCTTGCTATTTCTCTCTCTCTCCATCTCTTGATCTCCCTCTTTCCCTCTTTCCTTTGCGTGCGAAGACCTCACGTGCTGTGTTCGTACGTGAACATTTTTTAAGCGCGTTGGTGCTCGTTGGTGGTTGGCTTACATTTCTTCCTCCTCCTTCTTTTGCTCTCCTTGTTTGGGCCACTCTTTGTGTTAGCTTTGAGCTCCTAGACTCTGTCCTTGGCTCTTAAATAGTGCGTTTCCGAGTGCGTGCGTGCGCATTTTGTTGGGTGCCGAGCGTGCCTCCATGGTTAGCTCTCGGGGCGTGTTGCGTGGTCGGCAAAGAAAAAAGTGAGGGGTCGGAGGCCATGCTCAAGGCTGACCAGCCATGTTGACTGGGTTTTGTAGCCCCCTCCCTGCCCCCAACCCCCTCAAGGTTTTTTTTTTTTTTTTTTTTTTTTTTTTTAACGGATGGCCGTGACACGGTCGAGCCTTTAATTCAATCATAGGAATTATTACAAGCCTAGGCCTATCAGCCTTTGCTGTCCCCAAGGGCCACCCTAGTCAGCGAAGACTCCTTGCCTTTGGCAAAAGGCTGGCCACCGGCCATGCACCTACCGTGCAACCCACTATGCCTCTTGCATGTGGGAAAGGGCGCCGCCCTATCAACCGCTCACACCACCGGTGAGGGACCTTGCGCACCACGCCCTCCCATGTGGCATGCATTGGCCATGTGGCCTGGTTGGCCACAGCGAAATCAGACTCCCTTGAAGCGCGGCTGCTGGCACGTAGCAGGGGGGGAGCCCTTGATGTCCGAGTCCGTGTCACGACCACCGGGACGGCCGCCGCGCGTATAGCCGAGGCGTGCACGCTTGAGCGCTGCCACATCCACGACCGCCAGCTTGTAGGAGCGGGATGTCAGGACACTTTTGGACTGATAGAGCTGGAACCGGTCGGCGGCCTCGAAACCGGCTTCGTCCGCAACGAGAAGGACTTGGAAACGCTTATTAATAAGTATTTCGATATCCTTTACGTTGTTGAGTGCGCCGACGACGTCGCCGTGCTGCAGCTTGAAGTCGATATGCTTCAGGTACGCTTCGATGGCAGTGAAGACCTCGGCCTGGTCGCGTACGCCCTTGCGCATGAAGGTAGTAGCTGCGGGCGTGGGGCCAAGGGGGGGAAGGGGGGGGGCGGGTGCGAGGATGCGACGACGGGCAATGTTGGCGGGACCCTCACCATCGTCATTTTCGGAGTCGTCGCTGTCATCGGGGTTGTCAGCGGGTGTGGGAGTTGGTGCCGGGGGTTGGTCATCGGCGCGGGGAGCCTTGGGCGTGCGAGGATGGGTAGCCATTTCTTTCTTTTTGTTAAAATTGGTCGTAGGTGCAGCGCTATCGGATGAGGTTCCGACTGTAACAGCAGGAGCTTGCTGCTGTAACAGCGCCAAAAGCGCTTGCAGCTGGTGCGCAATCAAGGCGGGGGCGGCGGCGGTTGGCGCGGGGTCGGCGGCAGGCGCGTGCTGGGTGGTGGGGCCCGCCTGGCCTGCAGGCGACGCGCCTCGGGCTGGCGCGTGGACTTCTGTTGCCTGCACGCGCGGCTGCTTTGCAGCCGCGCGAGTTTCTTCTGGAGCAGCGTGACTGCCGCCGAGCAAAATCTCGACTGCCGAGGGGCCCTCGCCAAAATTGTCCTCAGCAGGACGTTTCTGACGTCGGTCGGTTCCCCCGGGCGAAGTTCCGAGCGCCTGGGCGTTAGCGGGGGTAGAAATGTTATTCACCGCGCGAGCCGGAGCAGAATTGGCGGAAGTCATCGCAGTAATATTGTGCTGCAGAATGTCGGTGAGGAGCGTTGTCGGAGCTTTGAAGCGCGGAAGAGACTGGGTTTTCGCCAGCTTGGGCGAGAATAAGGAGACTAGAACTAGGACGAGAACTGGAAAACGAAACTGGAACTAGAAATGAAGAACGTGGGTGAGGTCGAATGGCCTCACGTCCCTCTTTTGTAGGCAAAAGAGGGTAAGTAGCGCTTCGACGCTGACCTTGCTGCGTTGGCCCTCGCTACACTTTCACAATACATATTTTTTAGAAAGTGTTACACGCTTTCAAAAAATTACATTTAAAGAAACAAGCATACAGCAATATATAAAAAATAAGAAAGCAGTTATAGAATACAGTTGCAGGAGCGGCTATCGAGTCGCACAGCGACTCGATTGTCGCTTCGGTTACCATCCGCGCTGTTGTAACGGTCAGTCGCAACCTCCAGTTGCGACCATTCGAGTCCCTTCGCGTTCTTTGTCCGTCCCCTCGTGTAACCTCCGTTGACTCGCGTACCCATTGCGATCTTCCTCGAGTGTAGTGTTACACTTCAGAAACGCTGAAGTCCTTTGAGATATTTCCAACACTCCCCTTCGTTTCTGGAGTGCTGACGTGCAGTAATCGAATTTTGCCTTCGCCAATTTCTTCGTCAGATAGTCTGCGGCCATTTTTGTCGTCGGGCAGTAACTGAGTTGAAGTCTCCCCTTCGCGATTTCGTCCTTGACGAAGAAGTACCGCAGGGCGATGTGCTTGGTTCGGTTGGCGAAGCCGTCCTTGTTCGCGATTTTGATCGCAGATTGGTTGTCGCAGAGGAGTGAGAAGACGGGCAGGGTCGCAATCTTCGCTTCCTCGAGCAACTCTCGTAGGTAGAGTCCTTCCTTGGTCGCAGTACAGAGGGCGATATACTCTGCTTCAGCCGAAGATAGTGCGATTAGTTCCTTCTTGCTCGACTGCCGGGAGATAGTCCCGATAGGTTCTAGTCGGTAGATATAGCCCATTCTCGATCGTCGATTTCCCTTGTCTCCCGCGTGGTCGGCGTCGACGTATCCGAGAAGTTGTACGGACGATGTCGTTACTTTACTGTAGGTAAGCCCGGTCGTCGGCGTGGAGGCGAAGTAGAGTAGTGCCTGATTAAGTTCCTCGAGATTTTCTTGTTCCGGCTGCTTCAGGTGCGTCGCCAGTTGGCTCGCGCTGTAAGATAGATCGGGTCGGCAGGTTACTGCTGCGAATAGTAGGTAGCCGAGCTTCTGCTGATACTCCTGGATTTGCTTCGCGGGGAGTTTTGCTGAGGTGTTGCTGTTGTTCCCGTAGCGGTAGGGAGTCGGGACCGTAGTCGGCGTTAGACCGAATTTCTTCGCGACAGTGCCTACGTATTTTCCAGCGTGTAGGTAGAACGCCGAGTTGTCTTCGACGACATTCAGTCCCAGGTACTGGGTCACTGAGTCGGAGACTGTGAGTGTCAAGTCCCCTTTCAGCTCCCCTTCGAACCAGGTGGCGATGTCGGTGGTGGAACCGATGTAGAGCAGGTCGTTGACGTAAACGATGAGTAGGATATACTCTTTTCCCTTCTGCAGTTGGTACATGCCTTGGTCATGCGGCCGCTGTAGGAATCCGATTTTTACGAGGCGACCGTGAAGATGCTGCTGCCAGAGCCGCGGGGCTTGCTTGATCCCGTAAAGGGATTTTATCAGCTGGCATACTTTTGTAGGGTCGTCGATGAATCCGTGGGGCTTCTCGACGAAGATCTCGGCGTCCACAGGTGCGTACAGGAAAGCATTTGCGACGTCGATTTGGCGCAGTGGTAGTTTCTTCGTGGCCGCGACGGCGAGTAGGATGCGCAGGGAGGTGTGACGGGAGACTGGGGCAAAGGTTTCTGTGTAGTCGGTTCTGTATCGTTGATCGAAGCCTCGTACGACCCATCGAGCTTTGAATCGTTCGATGGAGCCGTCCGCGTTGGTCTTGATGCGGTACACCCACTTTCCCGAGAGGACGTTCTTCCCGTTGATGTTTGTTGTAGGTACCAACTTCCATGTATTTCGGTCTTGAAGAGCTTTTAGTTCCTTTTCCATCGCCTCCTTCCATTTCGCCTTATGTTCCCCCCCCAGAGCCTGCGACAAAGTCGAGGGCTCGCGCAGAGATGGCGGCGGCGGGTGCTGGACGGAGACCCATAGGCCGAGGATCTGCAGTCCCGTGGGTGTGTGTCGAGGGGAATTTTCATTCCCGGAACAAGCTGCTTCGTCACCATCTTCTGGATCAGGTAAGAAGTTTGGGCCGATGCGTTCTGAAACATTCGTGTCGACGGGGTGGGGTGTAACGTAACCTTGGTCAGCGAAGTGGTAAAAGGTGTCGAGGTTGTTGCTATCGAGGGGATTGTCTTCATCGAGTGGAACAGGTACGGAACAGAAAGAGAGTGGTCCGGCAGCTTCCGAGGCTCTAGGTACGTCTTCTTCTGCTGCGTCAGCCTCGGCAGCACGGTCGGCGAAGGAACGAAGGCCCGCGAGGCCGTCGGTGGGGTCGTGTGTGTTGGCAATGTTGTCCAGGTAATGCTGCAGCGTCAGTCGCTCGTAGAAGATAACATCACGTGATGCCACCGTATTTTTGTCTTGTATGTCGAGGATTTTCCATGCGTGAAAATGTTTGGCGATGCCGAGGTGTAGTCCCCATCGAGCTCGTTGAGTGAAGCGTCCTTCTCGGGCTGTGTAGGGTCTGTACTGTACCATGCAGCCGAAAACTCGAAGTAATTTTGTACTGCCCCTTTTTCGTGTCCACAGCAGGTGCGATGATGCGTTGTTGGGAAGCGATGACGAGGACAACAGATTGTGCAGGTGGACTGCATGTGTCATCGCATCTGGCCACAGTGTGTTGGGCAGTCTCATCCCCAGGAGCAGCTTTCGCATCGTCGTCTGCAAGGTCCGGTTCATGCGTTCTGCGACCCCCTGCTGCTGGTGAGCGTAGGGCAGAGACACCAGACGTCTGATTCCTCTTTCCGCCAGATAGGTCCTGAAGCGTTGTGACTGGTATTCCAGTGCACCGTCTGACTGGAAGCTTTTGAGCTTGGTGCCTGATTCTCGTTCGGCGATGGGGAGCCATGTCGTGAAGGCGTCGAAGGCTTGATCGCGCGTCTTGAGGTTGTAGTGCCAGATGTATCTTGTTGCTGCGTCGATAAACGTGATGACATAGTTGAAGTCGGCTTCAGTGTCTTCTCGAGGCATGTTTAAAATGTCGTTGTAGACTTTTTCCATCGGTGCGTATGCAGGTGCGCTTGGGTTATGATGGGATGGAAAAGGCTGGTGGGGAAGATCGGCTTCGGGGCACGTAAAGCACCGTGCGCGTGGTCGTCGAAGTTCTTGGCCGCTCGTTGTAAGGAGAGCGTTTCGTTCTAACACTTCGGCTTGGATGGTTTGCAGTATTGTACTGTTTGCAGGATGTCCGAGACGTTGGTGCTAGATGTCGTCGGGAGCGCGATGGCCGGGCGAGCGGTGATATATGTCGGCGTTGGAGAAGAACGCGACGACCGTGGCGGGACTTCGGCAGACTTCGCGTGTGATGGGTATAAGTTGATCTGCTTCGGTTGGCGGTCCACGGAT